TTCATAATCAACAACCACTAGCACCTCTCGACATTCAACGGTCAATTGACCTGCCATAAATTAAACTAGCCAATATTTTGTATAACCTCCCCTTGCTTCTAAAACTGCAGCCATCCTATCAGGCATTGATTTCCACAACTTCTCAAAAAACTCCTCAGGAATTGTCTCCCAAACCAATGGTAATACATGTACAAGTCTTCTCCTAGCAGTCTTTTTTCCTCCTGGAGTATCTGCAATCCTTAGATACTGCTGGTACAATCACTTTTTAAGCTCAACCCATACATGCTCAATAGGATTTAAATCAGGGAAATAAGGGAGGTGGTCCACAACCTCAATACTGTTTCTCTCCAACCAATCCATAACACTATATACCTTGTAAACAGGGGCATTATCTTGCTGAAAAAGAATATCTTCAAGTTGTATACCAAAGGAAATCATTTGATGAATAACAGGAATAAGATATCTTCTCAAAGGTCTAACAAACCTTGTCTTATTGATAGTTTGAGTAATAGGAACTAATGGACCTTTTCTTTTACCCTAAAAGCACCTCCAAACCATAAGCGAGATTCCCTTATCCTTCTCCTTTGGGTGTACACAATCAGCCAACTACTTCTCTGCAGATTCTCTGAATACCCATTGTTGCTTCGGATCCTCAGATTTCTCCACACTGTACTCATTACTCCAAATCACTCTTTCAAAATCCTCAGCTGTCCAGTCCCTATGAGCTGTAGCCCATCTCAATCTCTTCGCCACATGATCAGGCTTTAGCCTAGATCTTGACTTGGCTATCGATTTTTTAATGTTTGCTTCTCTGAGTACCCGGTCCACTATGCAGGTAAATTTAGTAGGCAATCATATCCAGTCACTCTAGGTAGTATAAAGAGTTACCAGTATCAAGAGAAACACCAAGTGCATAGCGATCCCTGAAGGTGCTTCTGGTCATTTTCCGGTTGGACTTGGCTGACTATATAATTGTGTGACACTGTTGACTACTCAAAATAGGTGTGCAACCGGGGCGCGGGAGATTTTCAAGAGATTGGTGTTTACATGCCCAAATAACAAAGCTCTTAACTGTTATCCATGAGCATCTAATAATTTGAGCCACTAAGGCAATGTTCCAGAGGCAGTAGAAAAAGGCAATTATCATGCCCTGCTCTGCAAGGCTCATTTCTCTCCAGGTAGTTTTAGGTGGAGGTCTTTTTTTTACAGCATACTTCATATTTCCAGAACGCTTACCTATTGGTAAAAAAGGTAGAGGAAATTAATATATTAATTAATTAGGTAAAAGAGGTTTCGGTGGGTATAGATTTGTAAATGGTCATGGTCGCGATGGGGTGAATGGTCATGATCAACTTTACACTTCATTGAAAGGTGGCATTTTGGCAAGGCAGCTTAGTCATCTGAAACAGGTTTCACGAATACTTCTGCCAAGTGACTGTATCTATATTTAAATACTCTCCAATCTTTGTTCAGCTCCAGCCAACCTTCCCTTGTAAGGTAAGTGTAATGTATTTACAAGGTACTAGTTACATTATCACTGATAGGTACTATAGTTGGCAGGTGGCCTGCTCTACTAGACAGGAGATGAGAGCTGAGAACTAAAGAAGGCTTCGAGGGTGTACTGAGAAATGAAGACGTAACTGTTCAACCAAGTATATTGAAATACTATCTGTCGAAGTCTGCCTTTTCCATCATGGAATCAGATAGTCTTTAAATACACAAATCTGTTCATATCTAGAATGCACAAAACTACTCAAAGGTATCAAACGATACAATTTGGTAAAACAACTTAAGCATCAGAACAATACTTAAAATAAAACATAAAACAAAACTGAGTATCAACCAATACTTAAAACAAACCAAGTATCAAAGCGATGCTTAAAACAAAACATAAAACAAATCCAATTACTAAGTATCTGTATCAGTTACAGTAAGTACCTTTATTCTTTCATCTCGAAAATTATTTCGTGGTATCAAACACCTTCTGGATTATGCTTGTAATGACCTTTTTGCTTCTTTCTCATAGTATCTTTGGCATTCAGGTATTTACAGATGAGAACCCCTGTCTACACTATTTTCTCTCCAATTTAACATCTCACCTTGGCAGTAAGGGGGACTACTGTATTGAAAAGAGCTTGTACCATAGTGCTGGAAACACCCTCATATCCGAGTACACTATGAGTATATATATATATCTTTTTTATTAGACATATAGTATATAAGTAAATTGCAACTTTGTTTTCTCTATATAATAAAATATTTCTTCTTTCTCTTTCAATAATGTGAAACAGTACCGGGATATACTCAACTGAGGAGGTACTCATTGAAGTTCTCTTAAAGCATGTTCAGCATAGTAGGGATACTAAGTACAGGGTTGTGACATTCCTAAATCTCATATTTTGCTCCAGCTATATCAGTAATAGCAGTAGTAATATCCAAAAGAAGCGGTAATATTTAGCTGAAGGGAAAAATTGTAGTTACTATGGTTGGCCAGATCTGCATTGTATTCTATAATTCAGTGAGAAAGGTAGTATAGTTGATTGAAAAGGATATGATTCTGCAGAACTGAAATTACAAAGGTCTTTGTAATTGTATACTGACAATACTGACATTACATAAAATAATAGAATAAAAAGAGTTGTATTTAAAGAATAAAAAATAATTGACAATTTCAAACAATATTACTCAAACAAGGCTTATCTATTGTTTTCTTTTTTGTTTGTAAAAATACTGTAGTAAAAAATTCAGCTGTATTTTAATAAAAATACTATAGTATTTGTAGCTTGCTGAATGCTATGCCAAACTAGAATAAAAATACAGCAAAAAATATGCTGTAAAAGTGAAAATACTATTGTATTTTTAGCTTGCTGAACAGGGCCTTTAGTGCATTTTCAAGATGAGACTATAGTTGCTTTATAGAAAATAGGCATGCTAAGTGTTTACTTATACTAGGAGCTAGAAAAAGGTATATTAAACTTTTAATATTATACTATCTATAAATGAAAGAAGCTATATTTAAAATCTACTACCATGCACTCTTATCTCCTACTGCTCTCATAGCTTCTAATTATTGTAACAAATTATTGATAAATTCTAATTACCTTCCCAGTTTAATAATTTTTTCATGCTATCGTACTTATGTAATAAAGTAATAAAATACCCATAGTACTACTACTTGCACAAATATTTTCTTCTCTGAGATATTAGTATACTATGATAATAGGAGTCTTACTATTAAATAATTTCACTAAAAGGGTCATTGGCTCTCCTTTCAATTAAGCTTACAGTACTCCTAATACTGTTTAAATAAAACTGAACTACATGAAAGTAGGTCATTGGTATAAGATAAGAAGTAGAAGGTAATATTTTGTTTAATGTACTTGTATAGATAAATATTGCTGCAGATAATCCACTCACTTCCAATATGGCTAAAATTTCATACTTTTATCTTTTACTCTTGTCTTGTTCAAGAATTTAGTTTTATAGGCTTTATCAGCTTAATACCATACAGATATCATCGATGCTGGCATCATATAACATCTGCCATGCTTTAGTTTGGGCTCTTTAGTACTAGAGTATGCAAATCTTTTCTGTTATTCCGGCATGCTCAATACTTCCTCGGAAAATCAGGGCTCCTTCTATCCTCGGTTTTTGCCTCCGTATCCGGGTACACGTTTCCATACCTTTGAGGATAGCTACCTCGGGCTGTATCTACTGCCAACACTCTCTGCCATCCAGACCTTATCAGACCCCCTCCTCCCCCTCACTTTCAATCCTGCCGTGGGTCGAAAATGTCTGGGCATCTGAGAACTGGATCACCGTCTGCTTCTCGTCGTACAGGCCTGGCGGCTCGCCTTCTAGTATGTACTCGAGCACCGTCCCGAGGACGTGGAAGGTTGGTGTGAAGGAGGTTTTACGGTGGGAGGATGGGTCGGCTGTGCTTGCTCGGCCACGAGACGGAGGAAGTTTTTGAAGTGGAAGGAGAAGGTAGTCATTATTTTGTTTACAGGTGGTGTTTCAGAGTATATCGTAGCAGGTTGGGAGTCGTAGTCGTTGATCGGATTGTGGTTCTGGATTCAGTACAGTTTGTATGTAACTAACCAACTTACCGTGCTTGTTTTCCCATGCCATGACCTGGCGAATTGTGCCCATCTACTCAAGCGGCCGAATTGAAGGTCAGAAGGCGCTACCGCATCGCTCGCGTAGCCACCTTCTGATTTCAATTCGGCCGCTTGAGTATGATAGTCTAATCCTTCCGATGACTTCGTGGCCTCCACTCATGTCCCGTCACTCACATCTTAGACTTCTGCTGGAAACTTCCGGAATTACGTGATCGTTGTTTTTCTTGGCGAGCGTTTTTTACTCCTGCTTTCATTGATAAGTAGGGATCCCCATTCTTGCCTTGGGGCCTATCGAGCAACTTCCGAAAAAAGGTACTAGAAGCGGACGGTGACGCTGATGTGTGACGTCGGTATTACATTGTGTGGTTGTCCGAGTCGGAATTGCATGCAGTGCACGAGTGGCAGAAGGTGAGAATTTGGGGGCCGGTTTCGTCTCGGTGTTTGGCCCGAGCCGGATGTCATCGGTTGTCACTCGGGAAATTTCTTCCTTCTCTTGGGATACAGGATTGGCATGTATGGGGTATATGGGAGGTAAGCATTGGTTGGGGGTATCGTACTGTATCATGGAAAAATAGTCGAGTGTGGCTTTGGATGTTCGGGCATCTCCCTTGATGCTGGGTGGACCATTTCTTCAGATGATCGCCCCCAAACATGGTATCATAATTCTCAATGATGTATCTCTAAGGGAAGCCTCTATTCACTCAATATCTCAGCAACCCCATCCAACACCTCATCCAGATCTAACCCCTTAGTTCCGATCTCCAGCACGGCTTCGGCCTCCACCAATGGCTCCTTGTCGCCCACGAATTTATTGAAAGCTTTCGGATTCTTCTTTTTCGCTCCGCCCTCGGACTTGAATTGGTAGCCGCGTAATCTGTTCTATATCAGCAAAGCGCCTCGTGGGCCAACGGAAGGGAAGTGGTACCTAGGCCCGTGCCCGGTCTTCTCTGGGAACTCTTCTGCGTAGGTTTCTGCAAAGATCTTGCAATCCTCTTCAAAAGTGCACCGGGCGATGCTCTCCCGGACGGCGGTGAAGAAATTACTTATGATCTTAGCGTTGTGACTGAGGTTCTGTTTGTTAGAATCAATCACCCATGCTTAGAGAGGGGAGCCAGAACGGACATTTGCAAAAGTACCCAAGCCGTCATTTCTTTTGCCGTGAGTAAATGCTGCACGTAAGCCCTGTGGTGTTTCCGACATGTGTAGCATTTGCACACCGCTGCTAGGGGTTCTATGCTTGTTCCGTACTCCTTTTTCCAGAGGTCAACACCGAGAGCTTCCTTCTTCCCGGAAGCTTCCCCAGGGAATTGAAACGTGAGCGAAATACCAGCGTCCGTCATTTGCGTCAGGAACGCCAAGTCGAGCATGTCCACCCCCCAGCTAACTTGCCGAAGAACTTGATGCGGGGTTTGTGCCTGGTCGAGACTTAATCTTGGTAATCCCTCTAAATCGCTAGGCAGATCCACTGCCAAGCGGGCATCATACAGTGCGAGCCCCGATAGTGAGGAAATATGTTCTTTCAGATAGCCCAAGTAATAGCTCTGCCGCTCAATATCTAACGGTAATACCGGTGCGAATATGGATATATTGGAGGCATTCCGGTTGATGAGCTCTCCCAGCCATAACTCAGTCCGAAAAACCATCTTCGGCCCACGATTCTTTCCTGGTGTCTGATGGGGTAGGTCTGATGGAGAAATGGCGATATCTGGTCGCAACTTTAACACAGCATTGAAGTAGTCATCCACTTTCAACGCGCGAAAGCCCACAGATGTGAGAATGGCAAGCGAAGCATCCGTATTCGAAGCGGCAGTAGTAACAGGTGGCGACCTTCGGGGCGCAAGCATCAAAAGCGAGTTCGAAGGGTGTGAGATGAAATCTCGCAGTGTCGAGGGGTGATTACACACTGGTACATTGCCATGAGGTTTTTCGATGACTACCGTACTCGCTCAGTAACCCACAACCAGAACCAAGGGAATTGAAAAAGAAAAAATAAAACGGGAAAAAGGAAACTCACAATCCTCCAAAGCGACATAAGCAACCTTAACGTCCGTGTGATCCCTCAAGTTATCCCCAGAAAGATGCGGAACAGCGCCTCTAGAAGTCTGCGCGACAAAGCTTGGAGTATCAAAGCTAACCCCGCCTCTAGCATTAGCGAACCGTCCAATTCTTGCACTGCCGTTATTGCCCCCACCAGTAGCGGTCCCCTCCCCAGCAGTTTGCAGATCAAACACGATTCTAGAATTAGCTGGGGCAGCCATGGTCGAAACTTTCCGGAAGGGATTTGGCGATGGAGACGATGAAGAGCAGCGACAGTGGAAGACAAACGACAGTCTTCCGATCATCATTTAACTGGGTTGTTTTGTTTTGTTACTGTACCGAGTCGGGTTCAACAAGTCTTCCAACCACGCACAGATTACAGAACCGCACTGTACAGAATTATCTTGGTTTGTTGGGGGAGTGCCGGTATGATACAATCTTGTATTTCTACTCCTAGTGGATTTGATCCCAGGGGGGGGGAGTCATCGCTTCAGTTAATGATACGTATTCCACTTTTTTATTATTTTTAGAATGGAACATGGGAGGAAACTGAGCTAAATATACGAGGGACAGCACATTGAAGTAGGGTAACTTTCATCTTTTAAGGAGCCAAAGGGTTTATGGTTATACTGGCAGCTTGATGATTAAATTAATACCGTGAAAACTTGATTGAGAGCGACGCTGGGACGTCCAGAATGTCTCTCCTTGAATTAAGGGGATAAAACACAGCGAAGAGATTCTCTTTCGGTTCCCAGTTGAGATGGATGCGTGGGGGAAGATACGAAGAGCCCGACAAGGGAGTTAGCTCCAATGTCCAAGCGAGATTCCCTAATGTCATAACCGAGTAGCAGGATGGGTGAAAGCTTATCCTTCCAGTACCGGTACGGCACTGGGAGTCTCGGTGGGGAAATAATATAAATTAAGGCAATAGCAGGAAAGAAGTTTATTCCAAAATTGCTGCGGTAGGACACAAGAGTGATATTCTGTGACAGGGTGGCGATCAGAGGAGGAGTACCGTAATCTACCCGTACCGGTAACTGATTGGGATTGGGGGAGGAACTTTTTAACCTTAATTAAAGTTAAGGGATAACCCGAAGGTGCTGTAACAAGGTTAGCCCCGGGGAATTGTCCATGTAAGTAACATTTATTACAACATCGCTACAATAATAATAATAATTCTGGGAAGGGAAAACGTGGGTTAGGAAAGGCGAGAGGAGTAGACGAAAAAATAAACTATAAAGAGGAATTCACCGAAATTCCCTTAAATAAGCCCCTTATTCCGCAATTCTTCTTCTGCCCAAACCCACAACTTCCTCGCTAGATCCACGTCCAGAGCGTACCTATTCGGCCCCGGCCCCTTGGCCCTCCGGCCCTCTTGGCTACGTGAGGAAAGCACTCACCGACTCACTACTCTTAGAACTCTTTGCTGGCACCAGCAAATAGACCTGTGCAAGCACCTTTATCTGACAGGGGGTGGGTCCCTGGATATTCCAGCGCCTGCTGCAGGCTAATCCCGAGAGGCCCCGCTTCCGGTGCCACTTACGGATCAAGCTTTCTAAAAGCGCATTCCCGACCAGCAGAGAGTACTGTACATATATGCCACCCAGAGGGAGGGATATTCATGTATCAACAGGCCCGGAACGTGCAGTCCAAATCTGCCCCAGTCGCCTCCTACTCCTTGGGAGCGGGCCCGGGGGGGTCTACTCGAGTATTCAGCTCCTTCACGTGCGGGATGTCGGTGTTCCGTGAGTGGCCGGGGAGCTTCCGAGGGTTTGCCTCATATCGCTGAAGTCCATTGCACTTTTCGGGGGGAAGAGGCTATGCTAATGCTAACTCGAGGTTGAGTTTGTGATTCTTACGTCTCCAATGGCTAAAGTGATTGGAGGGCGGGGAGGGGGTGGTGGGTTAGGAGCCAGCGGCTTATATAGTTTGTAGAAGTGATAATGAAAGTTGTTATGTGGTTTATTTTTATTGCCGAAGAAGAGAGAGGGGAATGATATGATATTGGTGTAGGAGCTATTTCTGGGAGGTGTGTGGGAATGTGGGAATGCGAGTTTATGGGGAGAAAAGGACTTACCGATATGATGGTAACGCTGGCGTTTGTTGTGGGGTGTACTCGTAGGTGCTCGGAGTAGATTACATGGCGGTGGACGCCTCCAAGGGGGGAAGGGAACAGAGGAGAACAGAAGAGAAGAGAAGAGAAGAGTAAACACGTGTATAGTAGCTTAAATGGGAGTCCCGGGGACTTGAGCGGTAAAATTAATTGCGCCCTACTCTTCGCCGTTTCCCGATGATCCTATGATTTCTACTACCGATGCTTTTTCCGCCATTGCACTCTTGCTCTCGATCTGGCTGACTTTCCTTAGGAAAAAAAAACAAGAAAAACGAAAACTGCGAACTGCCGGCACATGTTGTATGATAACAGAACTTTTGTTATTCGATGCCACCTACGTTCAAGGTTTCTTAAAGAACTTGAAATAGTCACAGATTACACCAAGTGATAAACTGGAATAGGAAGAAGCAAGCCTGTAACATGAAGTGGTAAAACTGTAAGTAATTGAAATACCATTTAGTACGTTTTCAGTCACTAAGCTGTCTGTCTCTTCTTGTGGATATGAAGGGGGAAGGTCTGGCTTTTCATACGCATTTTTTGTCTTGTCCATCAGTAGCATGATAACTGATGGGATAAAATCCGCAATATTTGAATAGGCCGTGGGAATCATTTACTTTAAAACATGTGGCTATCATAAATTGTGCCCTTCATAATAATATTTGATTGCTTATAGATTTCCATTTTAGGTTTTTGCCTTTATCCTCTAGTCTCTATTAAAATTCAATAATTCAAGTTGACTTCTCTTTCAATATCTGAACCCCCCACCAGCCTAACCCTATAATCATATTTATTATGATGCAATAATTTTGTGAAACTGTTCATGCTGAGAAGGTAAACTCGTTTTCTGGACTACTTTATATCTACCGACTCTTTGGTTATTTTGGGTTTTTAGTTCGTGCACTTTTCTCCATTTTTTTATGATATAATATCATATCATACATGTCCATTTTCCAGACCAATAGATAGTATTGTATGAGTATCATACTCAAATCTAGTACCCTCTTCCCAGCAGTGTTAGTATGATAGTACATGATTTTCGCTGTGCTCAACTTAGACCCGAAGTGAAAGAGAGCTCGGATGGGTATCATCAATATTGGTGCCTCCATATCCTCAACAAAATTCTGAGGAATCAAGCCCAAGCTATTACTAAGGTGCTGTTGCTCTTGCTTGCAGTCAGGCTCTCGGGCCACTTTACAGCCTTTGACCCACCTGGCTCAGATTTCGCATGGCACAGAAGCCGACTTCGCCGCTTACTCCCGATGTACGTATCGAACGTTCAATGGATAAAGGGGGCTGTTCCCGAGATAAATACTCACATCCTTCGCAAGGGATAAGGCCTGCTAAATGCTTGCAATTCCCTTATACTTCTGGCATCCGTGCCTGTACAATACTCGCAAAAAGATGAAAAATATCTGTTTGGCTTACAATTCAAGGGCGGTCAAAATACCTTTAAAGCACGTGATAATCGGGTTGGGGGTTGAGGGTGGCCGGGAAAAAGCCCGCCCCCCACCTTATGTGCTTACGTAATCGAAGTGTTTGACAAGGCATCCCAACAATTCGCATTGGTAGCTGCGTGTGTTCGCAATGTGGATTCCCTTGTCATTACTCAAGACGCTGCGACAATACCCATAATTTCGATTCACTGCCGTCTGCTGATTCGGTGTATGGGTTAGCTGTGACACCTGCGTTGTCGATTGGGTCGTGGAGGTGGTTGGCTCTTTGCTGTTTGCTAGAACTTCGTCAATCGAAAGGCCTGCTATTTAGGGGTTTTGGGGGGATATAGGTGAGAAAAATATCTTCCTGCGGCCGCTACACCAGCCAAACCCATAATATCAAGTTTCATAAAGCTGATATTTGCATGTGGTTCTTTGAGGAGGATCTCTTCGATGGCTTCAGAAGCCTTTCACTCTGACTTTGCTGCGAGATACACCTCTGCATTATGCGCGGCCAGGTGTCAGACTGTTTCTTATCCACTGCTGTGTTAAAAGATTTGATGTGAACTCGTGATACTCGGCCCCGCATCGTGAACGGGTATAAAAGATCGGGCACGAACATTCCTGTGTTACTGCGTTACTGCCACTTACTATGTGCGGTCCGGGTACTCGGGGGGATACTGGCGGATAGTTTATTTTGGGTTGGCCCGCAAAGGTGATTCCTATCTTCCGTAGGGGCGTCGCGCTTGTGCGCCCTCCCCGGGAGGTCACCCAGATAGCTAGGTTCGGGGACCATTTTGGCTCTTGATACATATTACTCAGGAGAGGCAAAAGAAGGGTTTCGAGGATACCTCGGGGATCGGGAGCGCTTGAGTTAGCTAATTTTCCCCTATCAAATACTTGGCGTTCAAATCCCTATATTGATCTTTCGCAGCGGGATGAGATATCATACCCTATATTCATTCACATGAGAGCCCAAAACTCTACCTCTCCCTCCCCGATAACTACTCCACACGCAGTTGCTTACAATTCCATAATGCCTTGCACACGCATCACGAATTCGCAATTGGTAATACAGTATTCGTACTAAATTTTGTACTCGGGGAGGCTTGCCCTCGCACCTAGATTTCCAGGTATGGACTTTGTAGGGGGGGCCATGAGTCCCGGACTTAAGTCATGACACAAATGTGGAGGGGATGGCATAACGTCACTCGGTTCGCCCTCACAGTGAGTACAATTAGTGTAAGGCTGGTGGGTGGGCCGTGGACTAGACTAATCTGACCATCGCAGTAGCAATTGTTCCGAGAAACCACGAGTATTTGCGTCTATGGCTGACCCAAAATCGGGTAATCTTAGCGGACAGCGGGAGGGAGTAGCCGTAGTCGACTAACCTACCGGCACCAAGTGCCGATAGTTGGCCCGTCAGAGGGAGCTGGGGGGGAGACTGGAATGAAACATAAAACCACGCATAAATTGACAAATAAGGACATCAATTACAAAAAGGTCTCGGACGGTCTTGGGCTTTGTGATGTCGGTGACATAATCCGTCCATATCGGGAGACTCTAGCCTAAGGATTGCTTTTATGGACCAAGCAGACATCCAAATTGTTGATTCACTTGAGCACCTCTCTCATGTGAATGTTGGAACTTGGCCTTGCTTGGGTCTGCGTGGTGCGGAATATGGCCCTGTGAAATCATTAATTTAACTTATATCTGATTCCCGTTTTTGTGGGAAATTTGGATCAAACCCGCCACCGTATCATACCGTGGTGGTGCACCACATTCGGACTGGATCAGACCGGGAAAGGTATCGTGTCCTCGGTATGGGGATTTTCAATGCAATCACCTGAAAGACATGCTGCGGTTGATCACAAGGAGACTGGTCCGTCAGATAATTCCCTCCTGCAGCCTTTCTCCAGATCTTGGGAAGTAATGAAAATGGTTGGGGGAATTTGGGGTTTGATATCCATTTCACTAGGCTTCTCTAGGGCAAGGTGGCACTTTATATGAGAACCTTCACACCTCCCGTACCTACATATATACCAATGACCTAGTCGCCGGAAATGCCACATTAGCCCAAGCTTACGGCAGGTTTCGTGCGGCGATCATGGAAATAGCAAAAGGTTTAATAATACCAGTCTGATATCAAGACTCACCTGTCATTATCAGGTTTTGCCTGTGAGACAAAGGGGTGAAAAATGATAAAAGGAAGGAAGGATTTAGAGGGAGGAAGAGGGGAATGAAACTCTCTCCTGGGCCCCGTTCAAAAGCTCCTCTTTCTACCGGCACCTTGGCTTTAAGCGCTCTCACCCCAAAATCCCCTCTTCAGGACTACAGCAATCGCACCAAGCATACACACATACTGTATAGCCAGCTCTACAAAAACAGAAATCATGTCAGACGAGGGAAACAAAGGTGTGGAGCTCACCGACCCTGGCGAACCGACAGCGTTGGACGATGATTGGACAAACATCAGTGATCCACGGGAACGTAGGAAGGTTCAAAACCGCCTAGCACAGCGGGCATACAGTAAGTCCAGGACAGGCAGTTCCTTGGTAAGAAAAAAAGGAGGACAGTCCTTTGCGTTAACTGCAATCAAACGTGAAATCACACAGGACAGCGAAGAGCCCGTGAGCACAACCTGAAAATCAAATTCTTTCACCCCGCCAAAAAAGGTTCAGCGTCGGGGGGTGCCTTCCACAGTCATCCAGCTGAGATTGGTGATGCTCTTGGTAAGCTTCAAATTGAAAATACCCATCCATCCATCGCGCACATACACATCCACATCTGGGGGCACCGCAGAGAAAATGTGGCCGAATCTTGGTCACTTCTTGCATAGGGAGAATCCCTTCCTCTTCGGAATGTCGATCTTGGTTTCTTCCACTGAGTGGGTTTGACTAATAGTGTGTTTCTGGCGTACAGGAGACAGTTTGGTTGCTGGAAATCAACCACCAAGGGATCCTGAATCTTCCGGAGAAACCTCGGAGCCAAAAGAAGAAAAGGGCAACGACATTGCAGGACAAATGCATCCCACTGCCAGCACTATAGGCGTCGCGGTCCCTAACTTCTACATGAACACGGGTTTCATAGAGTTGCTCACGGAGGAGGCCACCGACCGCGCGGCCCCCGTCACCAAAGAGCCAACAATACCACCAGACCCCAGACTCCCAGCAGACGGCAACCTCATCGATCTCCTCTACTACAGCATCCACCGCGCCTTCGAGTCCAACATCAAGACCCTCGGCCTTACGATCCAGCAGATGGCACAACACGATAGAATCTCCGACTTCAACAGCATCTCCCTGGAGGACGGTGTCCTAGAGAGCCTTGGGAGCGTGGAAGCGACCCCCATCCTAACTCCCCAGACAGCGCACCTCCCACTCACCCTCCGCCCAACCCTCTTACAGGTCTCGGTCATACACCATCCTTGGATCGATGTTTTTCCATCTGCCAGATTGCGGGAGAATCTCCTGCGCGCAGGCCACTCGTACGACCTGGACCAGCTCTGCTCGTCCATCATGGGGCCCGGGAGGGGCCTAGGAGACAATGGCTTCCTTGTGTGGGGCGATCCCTGGGACCCGTATAACTGGGAGGCCACCGAGGATCTGGCGTACGGCTGGGCTTGGATGTTTGAGGGTTGCGCCGATATCATTCACTCTACGAATACGTGGAGGTCGAAACGTGGTCTTCTGCCTTTGGACTTGAAGGTCTTCCACTTATCATAGACAAGTAATTTCTCTCTCCTTTTCTTCTCATTTCCATTTCTTCAGTTATAGGTTATACCATCTCATCAAATCTCCCACCCACCCGCCTTCCGCGACATCTCAAAATTGCCCCATCTTCCGCTCTTTTACGTTTCAAGTATACCCAAGACACATCTACCCATCCTACCCAACATATACGGGAGAATACAAACAAAAAGTCACATAGATACCCGTGTCTACCGCCCACGCAATAACTTTCCTGTCATTTCCTCTATGCATATAGCCCACAAGTTAACCCCCAATGCTTTGTCACCCTTCCAATCGCCATACAATAAAATACCCCAGCATATCACGCTCTCTGCCAACATACCCCGTCCATCCATATCGTCCTCGAACTATTATACCGAATGTACCGTCATACAATATACCTATCATATCTATCAAACCCCTCGAATGAAAGAAGATATTACACCCCCCCTTACCTCTACTCGAGTACGATAGACAGGTCTGTAGGGTAAGCCAACACCTCTCTCCTTCCAAAATGCTTCTATCCAAACATAAGCGCATTCGGGATCACACGGGATCACTCGCGACCCACATGCTAGTTACTCCTAGGTGTGTTACGGGACGAGAGCACAACCCCACAAAAGAAAGATTGGAGTTCTCGGGCCAGCGGGGTTCAATGGAAATGGTGTTGTTGTGAAGGAGAAATGAAAATGCTTTCAAGAGCCCTGGAGATACCAGTGAGCAGTGCAGTGCTTGCCAAGACGGATTACCAGCGTTTGTGTGTTTTAAAAATATACATTGCCACCGACCCCGACGATGCCCAAGGGCCACAACTCCGGTACTCGAGGTGGTAAAATTGGGGAAAAAAATATGGTACTATATGTTTCAGATCTCCGAGATCTATTTCGAAGCATGCTGCCGGACGATCTGCGGAATAAGGCCGGCATTTGAGCTGTGTGACTTGGCCTTCTCTCCTGGTAAGCCAACCGAGGCTAACTTACTGCGCTGTGCGCTGTGTATCGTATCATGCTGATGCGCGTGCCAAGGTGGGGCGGATACCTTACTACCCGAGAAATTGGTGAAGGAGAAGGTGTGGGAATCGACATATGGGAGGAACGGACGGGCCAGAAAACTCCAGCAGTATTCCGATTGCCGTTTCTGACGATTCGTGGTAAATTTGGGAGGAAAGGAATGGGGTGGAATTGGGGGGTTCTGAGGGTGTGAGAAGGCAAGGGAGTTTTTTTATTTTTTATTTATGATATCATAATATTATTATTATTATGGTATTATTATTGTTATTATCATGTCTTTTTCAAGTTATGTTCTTTCTATCTGCGAGGGTTGCCCTGGACGTCTGGAGTTTTGTTGCCCCCATAGGGTTAGGGCGGCCAGATGGATTAAGTGAATGTTATCGTAGCCTGTTTTATGCACTCGAATTTAATTCAATTTCCTTCTTCACGGATTCACTTTTTTGTCGCGGGGGGTGCTACGCTGCCTGACGAAGTTCATCTTTCGTGCAATTTCTTTGGTTTTTTGGTAGCGTAGTTCTACACCAATTGCTCATATCTGCATGATGGCACCATTCCTTGCTACTGCAGTACACAACCTCCCAATCCCACACCGAGACCATTGGTCCCCCCTGTCCCCTCAATTAAGGATCAAAGTAAAAAACGGCCACCTGAGGGATACCATAAGGGACGTGAAGGATTCAATACCCGTTTCCCGAGAGATGCCACTAACAATAGAACCGGGACCTATCTTGTATGGAAGATTTATTTAGAAGAAGAAAAAAGGGATTTGTATCCACGATAATTTGAGGGCCACTCGGCTTAGAAAGCTCTTAATTTATCCCAGTACGCATAGGGGACCTTTGTCAGTTTGCTTTCACTTGTCACTCCGAGAGGCGGACCGGAACACATGGATATCGCAGCTTTGATTGAGTTGCTTTCACTCGCTGACCTCTGGTTTTTCTCCAACAGAAAGGTTTGGATATTAGCCGTACAGCGCTCCTGCAAGCGATTGGGGGCCGGAGGCCGTGCAGCGGAGTGTGGGGCCAAGAGTGGGTATGAGGAAGAAGAAACATGACTTGGAAGCAGAAAAGCGATATACCGATAACAGCTTGTCGTCCGCACTTGCTCTCTTCTTCCCAGAGCTTCGGGGTAATAGGGAGAAATCTGTATGGCAGGGAGAGCGCACATCTGGCTAGGAGCGGGGAAGGGGCCCGGGGGATATGTGTATAGCTGGGACTGGCAGCCAGGGATCGTTAGATATGCATATACTCAGGTCAAGTTGTGACGGTGATCTTCATGGCTCACCCTGTAACTCCCATAGGCCACCCTCTTTTCCCACATGACTCCCCCGCGTTGCCCTACAAGCCTGACATCCCGGTGAGGTAGACCAAACCCGGGAATTCTTTATAGACACAGTTGTGCCGCACCACACCTCTTGGAAAACTTTACCCACAACCCCCCGCGGCTATCATACCACACGTCCGCAGAGAGGGGAAGCGAGGATCCAGCGCCTGACCTTTGGTAATACGATACCAAGCAATCCCTTGCTCCCCCTCGCCCCATCCCCTCTGGGAGCACGTGGTTTTTTTGTTCCCTCTTGGGCAATTCCCTATTGTCCGTTAGGAGGATTCGACCCGGGAAACTATGATAGGGAACCCGAGTTTTCGAGGAGCGTGATTTGGTAGCGTTAAGCCATAGCCATAGCACTACGTGCCATGTGTTGTATGATACTATTTCGAGATCTATATTCCTGAGGTCAGAGGAGGGAAATTGGAAATGGGCGGAACGAACTGGGGTATCCGTAAGGAATAATCGGAGTTCGAGGCTTGGGAGAATTTCCCGGAAGGGATAAGTGGATATGTTAAAGTGAGGCTGTTGCGGATGAGCTGTCATCTCCCCAAAGGCCTTGAGGAGAAGGGATAGGAGGTGATAAACGTGAGAAGGGAAATCACGGACATTTACTGCCGATTTATAACGACAGGATCTGGGCGGTTTGAGACGATGACATATGTATATATAACGCCCCGGGGGGGCCGACAAATGGCGCGGCAGGTGGGTGTGAGGATTTGGTTTGGACTTTCGGTACTGTATGAGATGTAGGGTGATAAGATGAGAAGCTTTGCTATCTTACTCCTCTACTCTAAGATAACAGTAAAGACAGGAGTAGATATAAAACACAATAAGGGCACTCTTACCCACCTATAGATCACCGATTGTACCCCTATACCTTCACCCACACCCCCAATTCCATTGCACGCTCCCGAAATAACCAAGAAATGACACATCTGGGCAACCTTCTCCCTAAATCACTATAGTTCTATAACGATCCAGTGCAGTCCCGAAGGATCCGCCAGACCCCAGCAACCTCCACAATCACCCACGGCATCCCAGGTGTCTTCCATGATCTCTACCACAAGAGAGGAGTATCATACCAAAACATCCATATCTTTGGCTGATCCCGTTCAGGGAATTGCCTCCAGCTTTGAAGCCATGTGCCACGGGTACCGGATCGCCCACGAACAGGCCGGGAGCCATCGCCAGTAGTGCCCCAATAATACTATATAGTTCGGAAGCGATAGGGGGGGAAGTTTCTGATCTACCTAGCAGCAGAGTGGCTTGCATGCAAATATTGAATCTATCGTGGCCATAAACCTCAAAATTGTCCGATTGACTTCTGCTATCGTATGATATCTGCGAATTAAAGAAACGGGAAAGGGCCCAAAGGGCGTGGGTTTTTTGGAGTGTGTCCCTCAAATCCCACAGCTGACTCTTCGAATTGGATAAGGCTAGATTGGATTATTATTGTTTATTTTTATTTCCATCTTCCATTGTCAGTGATGTGCTCACGAGTGCTCACCAGACCCCCTATAGACAGAACTTCGGCAAACTGCACTTTCTCTCTAACCACAACAAGTTTACAATACTGGTTACACAGGCCTCCCGTTGCCGGCAATAGACCTCCCCTTTTCTCCCTTATAATTATTATCTGATATCTTTCCTCTAACACCTGGCCTGGATCGGTCAACCATCCAACAATTTTCAGGATTTCAAAGAGGGGATCCCAAGAAATTCAGACAAATTCTAGCAGAAGATTGAGTTCTACCGCACCTATTACTGTATTCCTTCACAGAGCACTATATATACCCGGCTTTGGTGAAAAATCCTCCCACGACGCATTCAATAGGGAGAGTGTGATTTGCTGTAGTGAATAATGGCTGAAACGCCGATAGCTCTTCCGAACCCACAGCTACTTTCCCGAAGCAAAGGAAGTAAAAAAGCTTTCTGCCCTTTCTGTTATGATATCATACCCCGCCGATAGCCAACCCCACCCGTGGGTGCACGTCTAGTAGGATTCTACCACCCCGTAACAGCATTGGTAAGCCCATAGCCTTATTGACAAAGACTAGGTTCTCCACTCTCCCATTATCCATAGGGCAGGATCCCTGACTCCTCCTGCCATACGTGATGGATCGTTCAATAATAACCCGCTGTGAGTGTGAATTGAATTGGGCTCCTGTTCCGGTAATCGCAGCAGGGGGTAATTCGCTCTTGGCACCTTAATCACTGCGCCAGCTAGGTATGATATTTCATAGAATATTACCTTGGGAACAAATGCATATCTCCCACTGGTAGGAGGATTTGGGTTTGGAGAGGAAAGCAGGGTATCTGTCCAAGATTTAAGAAGGGTTTAAGCTAGGCGTATAGAAAACTTAGGATAGAATAAAGTACTCATCTTACCTGATTCAACATCAGTATCTTAGATCAGTTGTGGCATTTGAGTGAAAATCCGTGGCGCCCGAGATCCCCAACATCAAAATATTGAAGTGGAGGGCTATGATACTACGCGCACTTCTCTCCCACTGCTACAGACACCGCACATTGCCGTGTCGTAGTCAACCAATGTCGAACGGTAAATCGCAGGTGAGAGTTACAATACAGGCAAACAGCATGCCACACCAAAACCTCTAATACCGGGTGATTGCTTATTTTGTTCTATCATGGGATCCAAGGGCGGATCCCTCCATTTAATCCGTGAGTGAACAGTTGTTGACCCCGACACCTCTCTTAACCTCCCCTTCCCGACGCCCCCTATCCCCTTATTTCCACCAGGTCCTTCTCGTCACCTCACCATAACTCTTTTTATCACGCTCCTAATAGCTATTGCTGGGTCGGCTAACGGCGTCTTCCAAGTTCATGGCAGGTTACCGTACAGTATCGTATCGTATCAGAACCCGATTGGGTGGCGAGTGATAATATATGATCCCCATCACGGTGCATTCTATATGGGGGGATGAGAATTCTTGATTTTTGTATGTTTGGGAGCACATGAAAACAGCGTTGTGTACTTGATAAAGTACCAAGAAAGAAGACAGCGAGATCCCGCAGTTCCCTTGGAGGAGATACCGTGCTCGTGCTTCTGCGACATTGTTAAAAAAAAAAATTTGACCGACCCCTTAACTGAAGTCACTATTCTTGCCCAAGGTGTGTTTTGTCCCGCCTTGAATCTGCTCAAGGATATATTTACAGTACAAGCTAGAATTGACCCATCCAGGACAACATATATTACGAGTGATTATCTGTGATTCGTAGTCCGAGCCACCACAACACCGGCCTCCTCGGTTGGAAACCCGTACCCACGATTATCCACCACAAATATATAAACAAAGCGCTATACATATCATGTGAGGCAGAGCACTCTAATGCGGTATCATATGATACCATACCACATGTGTGGCTTATGCCCGACAGTACTTCCCTCCGGAGCCATCGAGCACCACAGAATCACCGGTCAGTGAGCCGACCAAGGACCTCCCCCCCTCCTCCCCAATGAAAAAACCCGGCCGCTTAGGATAGACGGCGATCTAGGCGAATCTTATTTGTATACCCTAGGCTGCAGACTGGGCATTCTGTAAAAAACCGTTTCTATGATATTACAAGTACCACTTGGAATTGGGATGGTCAAATGGTTGGTCGACCCCCCGATCCCCTGATGAGCCAGTTCCGTTGGCGATTGAGCCCGCCCGGACAATATACCGCGAACGCCCATGAGAGTGGCCAGGGTTATGGGTCGAGCGTTCCTATTAGCTCTCGGGAAATTTTCTTCTAGACAAGTACAGCCTCCGATGGAGTAATCCCGATAGCGGGTTATAGGGAGACCAGCACACGCACCACATCGACCGGTAGGTAGACTATCATACTACAGTGGTTGCGCAGAAGCACACGGGTATGAGTGGTCCCGTATTTTTTTTAGTCGGCAGCCTGTGCTCCTGTAACTGACACACCTACAACACTTTCATCTCCAGGTCCTTACCCACGACATGACTTTCGCCCCTACTATGGATCATTTCGCCGCCAACCTCTCTACACAGGACACTCCAGAAGCGACCGTGAATATTAACAAGAGTCGGATGTAATATGAAACGGCACACTAGTGCACCGCAGCGGCCCGGAAAGGGACTCTGCACTGTACCACACTCCAAGAATGTTCACACCAAAACCCCGCTTTGGCAAACGGGTGTAGGCATCAGGTACAGTACAGAAATTCAAAGTCTACCGGTATCCACCTTACGGTATCATACCTGGATCGGCCCGCTGCAAAGGGCACCGGCCAGAACTGCACTGGTATTGCACCTTGGGATATGTCCCGCTCTTCCCATCTACTCATGAATGGTCACCCGCAAGCGGTTGTGACATGCTCAGTTGCGACGGGCTAGACATCTAGCGGCACATGGCATTGTCAATAGAGTTCTGACGGCGCTGGAGAAGCTCTTCACTCTTGTCCAGTTTTCAGTGTGGGGGAGTGGGTCTCCCGCTGAATATCAATTAACCAATTATCCACCTCCTACGTACCTGCACTGTTGCTACACAATCTAGTCCCGAGTCCCAGGTACTCGGAACCGGTCAGTCTGTCCCCCCAACCTCAAGACCAGAGCTGTCCACGGAAGTTGCATATCCGCATCCCTATATGAAATGCGGAGATATCTCCAGTAACTGCGATTGAAAGGCCCGATCCAAAAAAAAAAAAGTGGTCCACCCACCGACGCCGACCAGCCGGTCAGTAGGGGGAAATGGCCAATAGGACTCTCTATAATTTAGGCTTTACGGACTTGTACTCTCTTCACATGGTATTAATATCAACGCAGTATTAGAGATATATCTCGCCACCCAACGAATCCTTCGAACCACCCCCCACGGAAAAACCCCTCCCCTAGGGGTTTGCGGTGACAACATCTACCGAATCTCCATAGGGAGCACTTCCTACCTAACATCGGGCGTGAGAAAAAATTGCGTATGATACTTTCCCGGCCTTGCTAGAATATCTTCCGTAATAGTCCTGAAGGCGCCGTCCGATGAAGGGCACTGCTAAGGACAGTTCATCCCCAAGTGTCACTAACCTGTACCTTGTGACCCGAAGGCAACCAAACAGGAATGGATCCATATTTCCAGGTATCTTGGCTATGCCAGTGGTGTCTCCTCCACATCTACCCCGCCGTCCTAAAAGATCCGTGAGGTGTCCACGAAGAAGAACCTGAGCCAAATCAATAAGACCGGACGGGTATCTGTAGGTAGACATCCACGCTTCGAATATGAGATAACGGCTATCGGGCTGCGCGTTCAATGTGATACATCGAAAGCAAGCCGCCACCTATCATAACCGTGTTTTTCAATTCGTAATAGCCCTCCGAATCCCATGAGATGCCACCCACCAGCCCCAAAATCGAGCATCAAAAAGCTCAAGCAAGATCATGCATAATAAAGAGGTTACCAAAAAAAAAGCGTCGAAATCCAACCTTACCACGAATTAAATATACCGTACCCGAGTACCGTAGTGTACAGTACCAATCATAGCGTATTTTAGGTTCTCTATCCCAATGCTAGAAGTCAAGACTATGCGGGATCACTCGAGAGCATCTTCTTACTCCGTAGGAGTGATAGGAGAAGAAGAATTGTTCAATCACCAAAATTTAAAAATAGAAAAATTAATAGGAATTTCGATTTATAGGTTCGAATTAATCGAAGTCACCAACCCCTTGAACGGCCAGAAAGTAGGGGCTGCGATTATCAAATTATCCCCAACACCGCTTCACCGAGTTACACCAAAATCGTCCAGATACGGCGGACGGTGTGATATCGCCGTCTTCCAAAATCTAAGAATCCGGAGCGACACCAACCTTTCCAATGGCGCCCAATTGAATACATCGTCCATACCGCACAAAAATTATAACAAAAACAACTCAATTCCACACTCAGCCACGATAGCTCAATCTTAAAATCATCATGATTTATCATACATCCCCTCAAGCATCACAAAAACCCCCCAACCAGAACCTTCAAAATCCCTAACCCACCCGCCAAGCCCTCCCAACCCAACCGAAAACCAACCTATCACCACAACAGATCGTCCCTCACTTCAAACCATCACCACCCCAATCAACCAAGTAAGCAACTAAACCAAACAAAACCATCCAAAACCAAGACCACCACGACAATGCCCCAAATCTTAACCTGGGCCCTCTTCGGTACTTCCCCCCCCCCCGAATCCCCTCCATCCCACTAACACCAGACAAACAGGGATCGCAGCCCGCTGGTGGCAGCTCGGCATCGAAATGCGCCCCTTCCTCGCCCGCGACACGGCGTGGGGATACCCGGTCTTCGCCGCTGTCAGCGGATCATTCGGATACTGGCTGAGCCAGGTTGATAAACGGCAGACAGAGATCCTGGCGCGGAGGCGGGAGAGCTTGCTGGAGAAGCGGAAGCGGGCTCGCGAGCGCGATGACGCCGCCGCCGGTGGGAGTACTCCGACAGTAGCGGCGGGTGTTTGAATTAGGGTATATACGCTATGGGCGGCAGTATTGCATATTTGTTTGGATGGGATGGAATTGGATGGGACAGAATTGGGGGAGGGGGGTAATTGTTGGTATATCATGGACTGGAAACTACAGTTACCCCTCGTCTTTCACTCATCGGATTCGGTCTATAAACTGGATTCCCTAACAAAAAAAAAAGAAAAAGGTGCCATATCCCGAATACGCTGCATGCCATGGTATCCCGCACAGCAAACGACAAGAAACAATAAAACCGCAGCCCCTGTTGCCGCTCCAAAACAAATAATACTTTATGTGAAGTTGACACTCCAGTCCTTGGTAATGCTAACCTTTGGGTCCCTAACCACGGCCGTATTGGCCTTACCGTCCTTACCCTCGGTGTAAACGATCTTCGCTTTCCAAGTCTTGCTACCTTGCTTGACCTCCACCACCTTCTTTGCAGCCCATTCCTTACCTATACCGACAATCACGATTCTCTCCACCCTCACAGACCTCATATCCTTGTTGTAGGCCGCCGCCTTTGCCGGCTCCGGGTGAAGATTTCCCGAGCGGAGGGTATTGTCTCCGTAGCTGAACGTGAAGGCTCTGTGAATGTATGCGCCGGACTGATGGGCATATGTCTCACCATCGTCAACGTAGAGAACACCATCGGCAGTACCCTACAATTATAAGTGAAAGCCCGCTTAAATAATCCACTGAAATTAGGAACTTACCTCACTGCTCACTGCGATAACCAATGTGTACGGGTCGTATTTCATCAAACCCGAACTTCTCCTTGGCCTATCCTTTCTAGGAATGATGTGACCGCCCCTCATGAAAAGTGGAATCTCCTCAAGAGCTGCAGAAACCTCATGGTGCCCCTTTCGGTGATATGTGGTGTGGTCAAAGTAATCATAGTAGACCTGGTCGTCGGGAAAGTAAACGGTGGTCTTGGTAGCGGATTCTTTAACTATTGGCTTGGCCAACAACCCAGTACCACCCAAGAAGAATTGATCGTCAATAGCAAATCCAGCTTCATCGTCAGGAAACATGACAAAATGGGGTCGGAGGATCGGCATGCCTTCCCGGCTCGCTTGGTGGAAGGCGGTATACCAGGCGGGAAGGAGAGAGTACCTAAGACGGATAGCATCTCTGATGATTGAGACGTATGGTTCACCTGCAAGATACGGCTCTCTTCGCTTGGCGTCGATGTGGGCATGGCCACGGAAGAACGGGTAGAAAGCTCCGGCCTGATACCACCTGGTCAAAAGCTCTTTAGATGGGTTGCCAAAGAAACCTCCGACATCGGCTCCAGCAAAAGGGAATCCAGCGATACCGTTGGCCAACAGCATTGGGAACGCCTGTTGCAAATGAGGCCAGTCGGCCTGATTGTCACCAGTCCACATAGCAGCGCTCCGTTGGCTTCCAGCGAAGAAGCTCCTGGTAAGAACAAAGGGCCTTCTCTCCTTCCCACTGCCCAATCTGATCTTTAAGCCTTCGTATGTCGCATTATGGAAAGACATTCCGTTGATGTTGTGGACGTCTCTATGTTCCCAATTACCATGATGAATGTTGTCCTTTGGCATGGTAGTTTCCGGCCCGTTGAAAACAGAGGGCTCATTCATGTCATTCCAGATCCAGAGATTAGGGGTAGATCCAATAAATTTGTCGAATTTGAAGAGTGACTTCCACCAGTCAACGGCAGCAGGGTTGAAGCAGTCCACCCAATGAGACGATCCGGGCCAGCACCACCCCTCATACACCTTCTCACCACCCTTATCCTTGACGCCGAACCCCTTTGCAACCATTTCTTTGTCAACGGCATAATTTTCGTCATTCTTGATATGCGGGTCAACGATTGCAACGAGCTATTCACGGTTAGAAAACCCTGGGTATATTGAAATGGAATTGAAAATACTTTTCTATCTCTCCTGGCCAATGTTTTCTGCATAGACTCCGGCTTACTGAATGTCAACGGATCCCAAGTAAAATATCTCTTGCCATCTGTATGCTCAATATCTAGCCAGATAACGTCATAGGGAATGTCAAACTTATCGAACTTCCTATCAACATCCTTGACATCATCTTGGGAGACGTAATTCCAGCGGCATTGGTGATAAGCAATGGAGAACATTGCAGGCAAAGTGGTAAAACCAGTGAGTTCACCGTACTGCCTATAAACCCAGGCCGCATCGGGACCGAGGAGCACAAAGACGTCTAGGAGACCACTTTCAGAAATCCAATGAGTTTGTGTAGACGCTTTCTCGGTTGTCAGAGCATGGGGGTTTTGTTTGGTTTTAATGACATCCACCCATGTTTCGGCAGCGGAAAGCCAAAAAACTCCAACAGTAGAGCCCTTCTTTTGTGCCTGCATGAAAGGGATGGAGCCATAAAGAGTCATTGGGGAGTCGGTTTCATATTCAAAGACATCGGAGTTATATAGGCGGTACGGTTCATTGTAGTTGCCTTCGCCTCCCCGGGTTTCCTTGAGCGATAGGCTGGTAGCGTGTTCAGGAATACCATACACGTGATCGTATCCCGGGAAAGTAATGTCCAAAGCAACGGATTCAGGACCTTGAAATTGTTAAAAAAAACAAAAAAACAGCCAAAGATGATAAAGTGTAGAGATTACCTCTGGGTTTAGAATCAGTGTTCCCACCAAATGTCTCCTCCCAATAAGTCTCCTCATCCTCGGTTGGTTCTTCTCCTTCAGCCTTCTCAATCTTAGGTCTCCAATGCTCAACATTGATGAGATTCCTGTCATTAAAGACAATATAAACCTCCCCTCCCTTCAAAAACTGAACGCTAAAGGGTTTATGCGTAATCCGTGCTTCATAGTTATCCGGGCCGTAAGCGACAGTCGTGACCCCTTCCTTCGTCTCCATTGTCGCAGTCTTCTGGCACTTGTGATCCCCAACCAATGCCCACTTCTCAGCCCCATCATAGCGTTCCTTCCTAGCTTTACTGTCATGCCTAAGGGTGATCTCCCCCGTTCTTCGTTGGGCCTCATCGATAGTCACTCTTGCAACACCATTCTCAAAAAGCGAGACTTCCAGAGGAAGCTCAATTCCTCCAGCCTCTGTTTTCCATATTTTACCTGTTAGAACACCGTCTTTCAGCTGGAGGGTCTTTCCGTCAAGCTCATACGGTGCCGTCCATGAAGCACCGGCTGATTGAGCCCGGTCTGCTAACGCACGGTTACGCTTGCAAAAGCCAGATTGCGAGCAAGTTTTGAAGTTTTCATGTTTGACCATCTGAGCAGGCTGAAGTAGTGAGAGGAACGATAGAATTAAGATGGGCGTTAACCGCGCCGACATCGGTCGGTATCGCATCTTGTGTTGATATGCTGATCACGAGGGAATTCCGATTAAAGAAAAAAGTTCAAAGAAAAAAACTAGGCAATTGAGCCTTCCGAAACTGAGCGAAGCTACACCGGAAACTGTAGTAGCTGGTTTTGGGAGAATCGGATGCACCTTTCCTCCACCTGGAAAGCTGGAAACAACTTCACGAAAGGTGTCCAAAGACCCCCTTCGCTCCCCTGGCGTGCCAAGGCTTGACAATGCAGTTACCCGGACAACTTAGTTCCTAACTTGGACAACGACACGCGCCACGACAGCAAGGAAATGACGGCTGGTACCGAAGTTTACTGAAGCAGTATGAGAGATACAACAGGAACGTGGGATATCACGTGCAAGCAGCATCAGGGTCGCATATCAAAAATCCTAAAGAACCCAAACTTTCACAAACTATCTCTATGCCAACTATCCACAACCATCGATATTTAGAATGCCTTTAAGTCCAGATACGTTTATATGAGTTTATCTATACGACTGCACCGTCTACTTTCACAGCGGCTTCCACCACTACAATTTTCTAGCAATTTTTTTCTTCGTAATCAGGACTTTGAACGTCACAGCATGACGAATCTTGCTTCTCCCACGATGGAACCCGAAAAGGTACAGTATGATACTAAGTGAAGAACGCTATTGTTTGCACATCCCCTTGCCCCAGCTGGTATGTCTCCCATACTACAAACTGCTCCCTTCTTACCCTCACCCTCAACCCCCTCTCATCCTTCCTGCCCCACCTATCCATAACTCCCACTGTTAAAAGCCATTCACACTCTCCATCCCCTCCCCTATGGTTTCCTCTTCCCCCCCCACACACAAGTTCCGCCGTGATACACTTCTGCGGCACAAGCCAACATGCAAATACGTCTACAGTTTTTCGATGAGGAGGAAGAAATCCTCCTCCTCGACAAGGACAGTCCTTTGCGTAATCTTGTCCCACTAAGGACCCTTCAAGAGATTAGAGCTGCCATCGAAACGAGTATTTCCCCCTAGCTTCCCTGTTCCAATCACGTTTGTATACCGCTCGCCTAGCAGTTGCTGATTACTTTCCAGTTGATGTTTTCACAGTTCCTATCCCTTCCAGGTCTGCCAATGTGATTCTATCCTCTCTCAGAGCTATAGTTCCAACCTCTCTTCAACACCTTCGCCGTTTGGTCAAACCATGTTATATTCCAGACCCATTGGTAGATTTCCTCGCTGTGCCTCCTACGCCACCGGAGGAAAACATTTTATACCTCCTTGTTTGTCCAGTTGCCGATATTTCTGAAGATAATCTTAGCAACTTTCTTCGGGAGCTTCCAGCATTCTCAACTACCGGCACAATTCCCCGCATTATGACTATAGCCGTTCCATCTTCTCAGCCCATATCAGCCGCTCAAGCAACCGAATGGTCAGCCAAGTATTGGCCCGCTGTTTACAAGCGTGGAAACCCCTATGGGCCACATCCTTCCCTTGTCTCCCAAACCCTCAGAGGGCTTGTCGATCCGGAGAACCACATACTGCTTGCCAAGCGAACAGCGGCAAAGGCAGCATTCTCTGGGGAGGGTCTAGGTTTCGGCGCTGTTATCGTCGATCCCCAGACAGGACAAGTTTTAGCGGCTGCTGGTGATGCCAGACTCCGCTGCAATGAGAAGGGATGGAGTAACCCTCTCGACCATGCAGCCATGAGAGCCATTGATATGGTGGCCCAGAGGAGGTTGGGCAGAGCCCAGAATGTTAGGCCAGACAACAAAGTTGAAGTCTGGGATGGGATATATCTCGAAGATGAAGAAGCTTCCGGCAAGATCGTTACGAAGGTTAATGGAAATTCCAACATTAAAAAAGAAGATACGGATGGAGATGCCAACGGAGAGAACGGAAAAGAGGCCGACGATAGGAGGGACGACGGTTATTTGTGTCATAATCTTCAGGTGTACCTCTCCCACGAGCCATGCGTAATGTGCGGAATGGCACTCCTTCATAGCCGTGTTGGGTCTGTGGTATTCGGAACAAGGATGACCAGAACTGGAGCACTCAATGCAGAGGCTGGAGGGAAACAAATGGGTCTTTTCTGGAGGCCCGAGCTCAACTGGAAGTTTATATGCTGGCAGTGGAGGGCGGGGCCGGGAGAAGAAATGGAATCCCATGAAAATGTGGATGCATAAACTCTTACCCAAACCCGGGGCAGTACATCGACTCTAGCGATTAATCTTTGCTTCGAACCTTCCTGTGGTTCTCTTATAGAAACCTTGCCGTCGTTTGTACTGATGATGGTTTATTATTGTGGTGGTTTCCTTTCCTCGGCCATAGTCTTTTGGGCTCCTGATTTAGCGTGATACAAGAAAACCAATTGAGTATAATTACCTGCAATTCAATCAGCATACCAACTCCCGCAAAGTGATAAGGCGCAGGTTTATGTGGTTAAATTTAAAACCGATCGATAGCAGTAAACTTAAAAAAAAAAGTCGTGGAAGTGATGTTAGTTTGTGGTGCGGAACTACCATAATCATGTACAGTACTGCACCGCACACCGGCGAAGAAAAATCTCACAAAAGGTGGTCAAAGGTTCTTGAGCCAGTATGAAGACTGTAGAGTGGTTTGATTTTGAATATCAACGCTCTCTGGCGCAGTCCACGCACCGTATCCACATTCACTCAAGTTCAGAATTCAGGAGCAACATGGACGAGACTTAGGGTCGAGTGAGAATGTTTGGTTGGGGTAGGACAACCAGCATCGGTAGGTTAAGTTAGGATATCATCCCGGTAGACTTGTGAAGATGCTACCGTGTATCCCAATACGCAAAAAATTTGTAATGTATCGGGTGGGAGGCTCAGCCGTTACCCTACCGGTATGATACTCGTACTTGTACCTTCTACCATAATCAGGGGAGCGGCCGCATCTCCAAAAAAGTCCAAAGTCCAGCTCTAAGAAGTTATGATATGAACAGATATCTAAGACTAACCCTGCTTGCTCTGGTTAATGGCCTTACATCCCTGTAACCGTTTACCGTCAGAAGTGGTTTCTGTGGCTGTAACTTGGTGGCGGTAACTTGATTGCAGGGAAACAGGGATCGTTTGAGCTCAAAATGCTGGCACTCTGTTATTAACATTTCCCCATGAATTGGCGAGACTTCAGACTTTTGGTAAGTTAGAGCACCAGTAGTCTACTGTACCGCATTTAGCTCAGGCCAGTAAACCAGGATTGGAATGCCTTGATCCTGGTAAACAGGGTAATAAGGCGATGGCCGTGATCATATGCATTGCCAGCGTGTCAGCCCTCCTTCTCTACACCCTCCCTCATCACCGTTTCTCGAGCACAGTAGGGTAGCCAGAAGGAACTCGAGTACTCGTACAGTACTGGTAACGCTGAACCCTCTCCATTCCGATTCTCCACACCCCTTCCTTTTTCCTATTCCCCTGCCCCACCTCTACCGATCCCCCAGGGCATCGTCCTGTTGGCCCCTCACCTTTCTGCCGATTTGGAATAGCAACCAGCCGCCCGGTGCCTCCAAATGCAAAAGAGCTCCTTCACACTTTTACCATTTCTGACCTTGTCTTGACCCCCCCCCCGGGCTTTGGATCTGCCCGCCCCGCTTTGTGAGTGAGACTTTGAGAGATTAACTCCATTATTTGTGTGTACTGGTATTTGCTTGTCTTTTCCAGTCTCGAACGTCTCTCTGAAAGCCCCGCGAGTAAGTTAAGTGATAGGGACGAAGCCTGCTTGTTTGCTTGTTTGCTTGCTTGCGCGTCTCTACCTCTACGAAAGCCGGAACTAACAAGCAGGCAGCTCTTCCTTCTCCGCTTGGCTGGCCATTCCCCCCTCCCCCTCCCCCTCCCCCCACCTAAATCAATCAATCAATCAATCAATCGTTTCCCCCCCATTCATCCCCGCCCATCCCTCCCCTCCATCTATCTATCTGTCCCTCACATCCACCCATCCACTGCCTTCTCTTTCCCACCCTCCCCAATCTCTAATCAGGCTCCTGCGGCTTCTCCTGCTGTTGCTCCTGCTTCTACCCCTTCCGCCCTACCTCATCTCTAGTTCTGATTCGATATGCCTGACACCTCTCCCGACAGTTTCGACGCACCCACAATCACAACGGAAGCCCAATCCTCTCTCCTGCGTATTTCCCGCCGGCATTCGCTCCCTGCATCCACAACTTTTTCAAATATCTTCTCCCTCTGGGGCAACGATAATGATCCTGCTGCTCCGCCCGGCCGCGATCACCACAACCATCAGAACAACGTCAATCAGCGGCAACAGCAGCCCAGTTCCAACAGGGCTCCACGCATAGTAAATGGAAATGGAAGCGGGGTGGGAGGAAATAGACACAGGTATGGACATCGTCATACCAGAAGCGCGGTGGTCGACCAGCCCGTCATTGTCAAAAGCTATAACCCTGGGCCAGCTTCTTCTAGCATCGCGTCCCCGATCCACGAGGTCCGTTCAATTTTGTTTTGCCTTTGCTTGAACTATCGAATGGATGGAATGTTGATTCCTTGTGCAGGAGGATGATCCGGAGAAGCTCGTGCTTCCATCCATAGACTCCTTTTCCTTTGACGGCATTCTTAAATCAATAGAGCCCGAAGGTCGGTAATTACACTTTTGATTGCACTTTTTCAGTCAAGTTATTGTCCCTAACAACTTTCCTTCCCCCGAATATATAGTTACGGGCGCACTTAGTGCCGTTTCCCGGCTCTGCTCTGAGTATCAGTCATCCTTACAAACCGAGGTCGACGGGCTCGTCGAAGCCCAGTCGCATATCGACGCGCGAATGAAGGAGGCCGATAAGCTAACTGCGCAGGCATTAAAGACTACTAAAATTCGCACCGAGCGTTTAGATTCAGAATCATCTGGTTTGAAAGGAGGTGATTATTTGATCTCAATAGGATTCCCACACAAGGTTCTAATGTTTCTATGGACGTTCAGGAAGTGCTGTGGACGCATTAGCAGAAGCCGCTGAAGCCACCCATACTACATTAACATCTATCGTTACTACTTTACTAGCTATCGACGAAATGCTTCCGGCACAAGAGCGCTTGTCGCCATTAACCTCGGCGCACAAGAAACACTACCCAAAGCTGCACGGACTTCTTGCGGAAAAGGCTCATGAACTCAACGTTCTTTTTAGGTCTGGCAAATCAGCTGAGACGACCCCCGTGCCCAGACATTCCCGGTCTGAAGTTGGCGAAGCTTCATCGTCCAGAGAACACGAAAATTCGGTATGGATGCGAAGGCGAATGTCCTCAACGCCAACTTCTGAGATTATGCTCAACGTTACTGCACCAGCATTAGCCCACTCAAATGCCTTTTCGCACCCCCGAGGTGTGGCTTCACCTCATCTCCAACTTCGTACTGTTCTTCCTTCACCATCTTCGCCTGCCCCCGACCCGGGATCTGCGTCTACGGGCTCTTATTACCCAATACCCCCCAAAACCGCAACTTCCATCTCACTCACAAGCCCCACCGGTAACAGTATTGCGCCTGTTTCACCTCAGCCCAACAGGAGACATTCGGGATTATGGGGACGGCGTGCTAGCTCCTCAGCATTGGCCTACTTCCCGGAAGGGACTTCAACAAGAACAAATACCCCAACCGCTGAAAGCAGGGGATGGAGACATTCGGGGAGTTGGGGTGGGCTTTTTGGCGGGGGAGGGAAGCGGAGTTCTTTGTTGTCAGCAGATAACGGTAGCGAGCCTGATGGCGCACAAGAAAGGCTCAGAAGAGTGCTAGAAGCTGGGACCGATAGCCGAAGAGGAAAAGGCAAAGCTGTTGTGCTTTAAGATATTGATCGATCTTCATCTCACTTTTCTTGGTCAAAAAAAACTGGCAAGTGGGTGCCTGCGCCGTCTAGTGCCATACGGATACACGAACGCTACGACTTTACGAAGATGCTTATTTGACTTTTGTTCTTGCGCGTCTGCGTTGTCTTTTTATTATTCGTATTCCTTTACATCACCTACCAGCCCTTTATATTCCTAATACTTTTGTCTTTCGTTTCCTCAGTCCTGTTGTTATCAGAGCTAAGGAGGGCTATAATCGCTGGAGCTGGAGTCGGAACTGGATTTGGGAATTGCTACTTTTACTTTTACCACTACTGGACTTTTTGTTTTCGTTTGTCTGCTCAAGGCCGCGGGTGCCTCGAGGCTGCAACCGGTAGGTATATATTAATTCGCTGGGGGGGGGGGTTGGGCCTATTTATTTGTAGTCAAGATTGTTTGCAATTGTGGGGTTAATTGGGGTTTGCGATATGTTTGATAAGTTTGTGGCTCGGAATCATGCAGCATCACTCGCTCCGATATATCATCGGGATCGCTTGCGGGATGAACTTAGGAAGATCCTGAAGGCTTTCCCACACTCAGTATAAAATATTTCATGCCATGGTTTTAGCGTCGCACTCCAAGTTCAGGAGTATATCGTCTAGGTTCCCAGTACCACAGTCGGATACCGGTTTTGCATATGCATAACCCACGACTACCACCCTTACGAGAAGCTGGTAAAAAATTAAGAGTGGAACTGCCACCATTTTCAACACCGACCCCAACCAAGCGCGAAGTGAGCTAACAAATCAAATAAACCCATAATAATGAGAAGTTTGCCTCAAACCAGCTCCATCCAGAATTTGCATTAGGTCCATGTCCTTTATGAAAATGAATTTGTTCAAGATATGCCTAACGCTGTCAGCTGTCATCCAGTGTCCTCGAGTGAACTACTCGAGTAGATATCGTACCTCTTGTGTTTTAGCCCCCCTCCTTTCCTGGATGAGGGATGTAATGTTGTATAATAAATACCTTATGGCGCAGCGGAATATGGTGTGAGGTAGTTTTCAGGGATTGGTACTGCACAAGTCGCCACCTTCGCCATCCTCTCTCACACCACAATGGCTATGAAAACCCGCAAAAGTTCGGCAGAACATCACTAAGCCCATAGACAATATGGGAAATGTTGAAAAATTCCCAAGAATTATAACGAGGTAGGGAAAATGTCAATTCAGTTTGCGGTATTGGTTACCATTTATTTACCTTTCTGTATAGAGCCCCATAGAAAATTTTTGGTCACCTTTCACACAAGCCGACGCAGTTATAAATAATGCACACAGTTTCGATCCCCCGCAGTTCTACTCCTAGAGATTTAAATACATGGTAATTGTCAAGTTGGTGGAATTTTCAAAGTGTTTTCAGCAAGGCATGATAGCGTGGGGAATCGTCTGTTCGAAGGCGTCTAATTCTGGTGTAAAACCCGGGTCGGACGAAACGTTTTGACCCGGTACGATACAGGCTATGGTATTAAACATATCCCTCCCAACCACGCTATCTCAACCAATACCCCTCAAGCACTCACTCACCCCGAACCCAAAAGCTAAGAACACGAAAGAAAATATAATAATAATAATATTATGATATATAAATCGGCCCGGGCACGTTTTAGCGTCAAAGTCCTCCTTACAGCTCCAAGAAACCACTCTCCACTTTACTGTAAGGTACTGTACGCCCGCCCTTCGTGCCGTCAGAGTTGCGGAAAACCGCCACCCCTTTCTTTCGAGCCTTATGAGGGAAATGAGCGCCCCAGAAGAGTTTGGCGATAACGCCCAAAGTTAAAAATATTACGAGGAGATGGTTGGTGGGCATGGACTACTACTGAGCAGATACCGGTATCAGCAGCCGGCTTCCGAGTGATCGAGCGTGATTGCTATTCTGACCTTGGGGAGTTTTCGGGACTTGTCTGTAAGTGTGTGTGTGTGTATCATATTCACGGATCGAACGGGAGCTGCTAGTAGCGGACCCTGCAACTACCTGCGTGAGTGCATTGGCATGATGGACTATCATACGTATCTTCACCTACTAACGGCCGGGGGGGTATGATAATTAAGAAAAATCTTGTGCGCGGAACACTATGTCTCATCTGGACCTTGTTCTCCCGTGAATGGCCGGGCACGCTTAAATCCAGCATCCGGGATCGCGGTGAGAGGAGATACGGTTCGCGGCGTGGAATATTGAGTCGGGATGTGGGTGCTTTGCTACGGAGTTCTGTAGAGGCTGTTTCGCTTTGGCCAGCGATGCTGGAAGTTGTGGTCACGGCGCAGCGATTGCGAATGCGCGCTATATTTCGGGGATATAATATGTGGAGTTGGTGGTCGTGGGAAATTGCCCGCTCCGGGAACAGGACTGGTTAACTGCTCGTTGCTCTATTTCTCTTCGTGTGTTCTAAGTATGGGCCCGGGAGATATCTGCCTGTGGGCGGATCCGTGGCTTGCTGTCCGACTTTTGCGCGGTGGATATCATGCAATGACAACTTACCACCAGCAGGGCTAAGTTGCGTAAAGTCGGGGCAAGACGCATGAATTATGACTCATGGTAGATTGCCCGTTAGAAACTAGGTTGGACATGGATCTTTCTTCCCCAGCTGTTGGACGTTCATGGACGGGTTCTGCGATAATAATGTCCCGCAACCTGGTCGATTTTGGTCTACCGGTGATCGCGACATTCCGAGATGTCTGGAAACTCTACTCGTACGTACAGTAATACCATACCATTTACACTGCATTTACTTGCTCTTCAAGATCGCTCTATCCACACCCTGCCTCTACCCTCCATCCCCTGAACCCGGATACCGGATATGAACTGCCCGAAAATATTTTTTCTCCGGCATTGCATAATCTCATCCGAGCATTTGTAGGGTGTGGGGGGGGGGGGGAGAACAAGCCAACCAGTTTCATTAACTTGCCGTATCCCACATAATTCAAGTCAAGTATGATAAAATCTCGAAAACGCTAGCCAATCTACAGTATGGCACGATACATTTCCCGAGCAGCAGCAAAAGTGGAAAAGTAAAAAGAGGAAAGCCCCTCCATGCACCGCAACCCACTGCCAAACCATCCCATCATCCACAATGCACCTCTATCTAATACATACTCATAATCTCATCATCCCACTCATCATAATCCTCTTCGTCAATTATAGTTTTCGGTCTCTCCCTATTCTCGTCCCCATTTCCATCCCCACCCCCCTCCGGCCGCTTTGGCGGGAACTTGAACGTCGGCGGCCGAGCACACAGCAGCATCTTCTTCTTCGGGCCAGAGGTGGAAGACAACTTTATCACCCCAGGGCCCTGACGAATGGGTCCTGCCACGTTGTTGTCGTCGCTATCATCTACATCGTGGATCTCATCTTGTTCTTGTTCGACTAATCTCCTAGCGGATTGGAATTGGGTTGTGCGTTTGGTCGGGGGTTGGTTTGCGTCGTTGACGGTTGAGGGTCGCTTTGGTGGGCGGTTTATTGGGTTATGGGTGGGTGATGGAGATCTGGAGTTGGGAATTGAGGTTTGGTTTTGGGGAAGGGGTGGTGGCGGCGGTGGTCTATCACGTGGGGAGGGAGATCTGGATATGTGGGGTGGGGGTTCGGCGGCCGAGCTTGGGACTTGGATAGATTCTGGGGATCTCTGTGGTGGTGGCGGTGGTGCGGTTGGTTGTCGGGGTGGGCGGGCACGAGATGGTGCGCTGAATTGTCTTATTTTGCTTAATGTTGCTAGTGCTGTAGGGGCAGGTTCGTCAGGTGGTGCTTGGGCCGGTGCGGGAGGTGGTGCAGGAACTGGGCTAGGAACCCTGTGTGTGACAGGAGGTGGACGACCTCCTGGCCGAGGAGCTGGGGGGCTGTGCCTTTGCTGTGCTGGGGGTTCAGTTTGTTGAGATACTGGATAGTTTTGATTAGCTCGGGATACCGGACGTCCCTGGGGCATAGGTGGCGATATTTGGGTAACGCTCCCTGACCTATTGACCTGAGCAGGCATCTGACGGCTAGTAGTTACAGGGCGCCCTCTCTCTAGTACCTTGTTCCTTGGCTGGTGTTGGGGACGTTGGGGCGGGGGTGGGCGCCGGGTAGGCAATTGCGCATTCGTTTGTGCCACTTCTGTGACTAAAGGAGGAGCTCGACCGTGGGAGCGTGTGTTGTGGTTTTGGTGGCATAGTGCCGGTTGCGGAGGGGCTGGTGGAGGAGCTCGCTGTGGAGCTGGTGATCCAGTGCGCCCAAAATTAATCGGTTGTTCATTAGCTTGAGGTTGGTAAACAATATGCTGTCGAGTCGGATGTGAATTTCGGACTGGTGGATTTGTATTCATATTTCCATTAACTTGTCCGTTTCCCCTATAAGCCGGTATCGGCGCACGAGCCTGCGGGCCAGGCATATCCACCCCCATATTTCTATTCACTTGTCCACCTCTTCCCGGTCCTGCTACAGGTGGATAATCCTGTCGACCTGGAGTATTTAAACTCGTCACTCCGTTCCTTTTTCCTTGTCCGTTCATCCTCGGGACTGTGGTCGGAGCTTGGGCTGGTCGACTAGGTGTGGTCATGTGCCCATTCCCTAGTACATCTCTGCTCTCTCCCTGTACGGTTGTAGGCGTAAATGGTTCTCGAGTTGCAGGTCGTTGCTGTCTAGCACTCTGCGCACCGGCTATTCCACCTCTCGAAGCCCCCACCGGTTCCCTCCGTCGGTTCGGTGTAGGTGTCTGAACTGTAGATGCTGCCGTAACGGCAGCCTAGTGGCGTCAGTGGGCCCCTCGACCTCAGACACGAAGAAAGGTGCATACTTGTTTCCGTTGTAGAGCCGGCGAGAAGATTGGTGTAAGATCTTGATTTACCGAACCATGAAAGTCCTCAATGGAAACAAGGTGATGCTCAAACTCGAGCTCGTCCCCTTCACCCAGAAATTCCCGATCGCGGAGGTACATATCGGCCTATAGATTGTTGAGGTCAGCTTAATTATTCGGGGATGCGAAAAAAACAAGATGGTGGAAGAGAACCACGAGGTGTCGGCCATCATCATAGACCAGCATGCGCCTATTGAATGAATGGTAGCGGAGGAATCCTGTCAATGTCAGCTTGGATATGCCCGAGAAGTAAATGCGGCTAACCGTCGTGCCATTTCTTGATTTTCTGGGTTTTGTTCTATTAACGTTAGCAATGAACCACCTCGAGGCTTAAATTAGCAGACACGGGAGGCTCCTGGAACAACAACATACGGTGGTCCACATAACACGGTACTCATCAACCGGAGCAGTCTTCGTCTGGTCGGCCATGGCGGATCCTGCAAAGGTGGTGGTTTGTTGAATACCGGGAGTGGAAAGTAGGGAGTTGAAATCGAAGGTAGTGATTGGGTGTGGTGATGGTGACGGTGCTTGTAGTTAAGTTGAGAGCTTGGTCAGGCTCTACGAGCAGGGTTCGACGCGTAAATTGGTGTATCGTACATCACGTGGTCCTCAAAAGACTAAACACCAAGAATTTTAACTATGATACCCGAGTATCATACAGTGCTTGGTACTTATCATTAGACGCTTGAGTGCTGCCTGGTCCTGCATGGTTCATTCGTCGAAATGACACCACCGGGGACCTACGAGTAGGACCTCCCTCGACCCCACATACATCACAAGATAGCCACCTAACTTACTTACAACTACTTCATTTCTTTTTAGTCTCAGGGAAAGTTGTAAATTACTTTTATTATAAATATCCAAGGGATGTCAACATTCGGAGTCTTTTCTAAACCAGTTCTACTAAAGATTCCAGTTCGAATTTATTCCCATGGAGCTCTCAGGACAACATTCAACACCGGCTCTTCAGTGTCGACACACCCTCCATCTCCATCCTGCCAAAAATGCCTCGACCCCGTTGGTTTCTCCAAGCAGAAGCAAACTTCTTTCGTACCTTAATGAACACGGGAATGTGCCTTCACCGCCTCTCCCCACCCATTCCTCCACAGCACAACTTCACCAGAAACATCCCCATGACCGTCTCCCCCACAAAAGGCGAAATAAGCCTCTACTTTTACACCCCACCCTCATACCCACCCCGGCCGGACTCGTCGCGCAAATACCCTGTGGTGGTAAACTTCCATGGCGGCGGCTTCACGCTCGGCCACGCCACCGACGACGTACGCTGGGCGGCATCGGTCGTCTCGCATGCGGATGCAATAGTAGTAAGCGTGGACTACCGTCTCGCGCCGGAGCATCCATTTCCCACAGCTATCGAAGATGGCGTCGACGCTCTTTTGTACCTATCCGCTCATGCGGAGGAGCTGCGCATTGATCCACTGAGGGTCGGGATTTCAGGGTTCTCGGCCGGGGGGAATATGGCTTTCACGGTCCCATTAAGGCTGCACGAGGAATACAGACGACAGCCGGCGCTTCCACAGCTCGTGATTGTGGCAATCGCAACTTGGTATCCGAGCACCGACTTCACTGCGACCCGCACTAACAGGCGGAGCACCAACTTGAGGCCGGATAAGGAACTTCCAAAGCTGTTTACGGATATGTTTGATGCGAGCTACTTGTATCCTCCGAAGAGCGTGCCGCTAGATTCACCGTATTTGTCACCGGGAGTGGCGAGCGAGGAGCTGTTGAGGGAGTTGCCGCCGGTAATTTATATGTATACTTGTGAATGGGATGAGCTTCTTCAGGAGGCGGAGGGCTTTAGAGTTAGGTTGGAGAGCGAGGGAGTCGGAAAGAAAGTTTTTTATAGGAGGGTTGATGGAGCGGCGCATGCATGGGATAAGACAGTTGGGCCCGGGGATACGAGACGTGAGGCCCTTTACAAAGAGGTGTGTGAGGGGTTGCACAGTGTCTTTTATAAGGGTTAGTTATTTGATGCTGGTTGTGTTCAGTAATTGAAGTCGAGCGGGTCTTGCAACGGAAACTATCTTGTACCTTAGATATCACTCGGTCTTTCCTATATCAAAATCTGACGTGGATTCGTGGGATCTCAAGAACAATAATTCATTGGAAGAGCATTCCGTGCGCCTAGAAACTTGTGTAGGCTATGGCGCGATACTTTTGAGAGACCTCAGTATCAAGTTCTTCCTCCTGGCTGTAAGTCCTCATCATCGTACCGCATGCACGGATTACACCCTGGGGTCTTGGGGAATAACTAATAAATCGTGCAGCCATAGAATGAGCGGAATAGAAGGGGACCTAGACGTTATAGGTAATTGTGGGAAAGATAGGAAAGATAAGTGGTAAACTTCATTCCCCTCTTGTCCACCCCAAGTAGACTACAGTATCGGTACTCGTACTCGTACTCTAAAGCTAGGAGTATACAGTAGACTATATAATATTATGAAACATATTATTGTAATCATCTTGATCCTCGGTGAATCAGCACACATGTCTGTTTTCCTCCACGCATGCCCCTTGCATACCTTAAACCTTCTCCGTAAATCACCATAACCCCCAAACAAGAGAAACCTCCTGCAACATTCTTGTAACCTCCACGATCGACCACAGCTCACTGTCCTCCTCAATCAATTCCAACAATGTATGAACGAAAAAACCGGAACAAAAGATCAGCAAGATCCTATGGGGCGGTGAGTAGATAGTCAACATAAATGGAACATAATGGGTTCTGGTAGACACAAACAACTGGGAGTGGACACTAAACTGTTAGAAGTGTTAGAAAGCTTTAGGAATTGGGATTAGGAGTGTGAGGACTTGGAAGTACATGGTCTGTGAGGATTTAACATCACCGTTTTTACCCTTTAAATACCCGCGTTTTTCTCCTCCTTTCCTGATTTCTATCTTTACATGTTTTCAACAATCAACCATCGTCTTCATCTCATAAAGTCTGGCTCTCAACACAAACACATTTTTATCTCACCAATGCTAAGGTACCGGTATCCCGAGGTAATAATTAATAATTAGTCTCAGCATAAATTGGCCATAGGTTACTCAAAACTTCCAGAGGACCTTCAGAATCACTAAAAGTCGAGTTTTAGAGAAATAGACACCAATGCAACTAGTCTGGGTTTCTGACAACCCCGCGTTTCTTTCCACAGGTTTATCTATCGATTGACAGAATCCTTAGCCACCCCAAATTTCAGTACCCGAGCACGATTGCTGCGTCGCTTTCACGCCTTGGTAGAAATGCCGGTATCTCGCGATCTCAACACCTCCCACCCCAAACTACATCCGCCCTTCAAGCGGTTAATCCGACCGAATATGGAAATTTTGGTACCAGAACCTGCAGGACCCTCTGCCTCCTGAGGGGACTGTACGTGTAGCTGTCGCACCACTACAGGCAAAACACCCCCATTCACGAGCAATTCTCCTTCAAAGAGCATATTTGAAGAAGCCGACTTAAGCGGCCTTAACCACTCTCTGTTTCTCCTCCAATGATGGTGTTTTCTGAAAATTATCGAAAGAGCTCCCCAAGAAATCCGAGCCCTCCGGGAAATCTATTTCCACCGCTTGAATCATAAGTTATCACTTCCCCTCCTCGCCAAGCCGCTGTCAAGAACCAGATTCCATATCCAGACTCGATCTTTAGAGGAGACCGCCACACCAAGCAGCAGCGGAGCCTACTTCCGAATAAAAGTCCACAGACCACAAATCGTTCCTAACTCCTTGTGAATGCCTTTAGAAAGTACGAGATACTTACTAACCTCGGAAGCTCCCATTACCGGTTGTGCGAGAAATACCCGACATAACGCGGGGTTGTCGGCAGCAAACAACCCGACGCAGCAGTGATGTCACCTCCTGCCCACCAAAACAGCGCAGAAACCACCCCACGTTGTCATTGTTTGTAATATAATAACATGATGGGTAGATCACGCCCGCGCTTTCACCCTTCATAATCCGACCTCGCCATGCACTGCTTTAAATCCAGGAAGAAATGCACAACACCACTGAACATCCTCCTGAGCAATGGCCGTTTCCCAGTGTCCATAGACCTCGCGCGGCAGCTCAAACTGGCGGGTCACAATGTCTACGTCGTGGATCCAATGCATTACCATGTGTGCAAGTTCTCCAACTCTGTCGTGAAAAGTTACTGGGTTCCCGCTCCACATGTTGACGCAGAAGGGTACACAGAGGGCGTACGGCGCGCGGTGGTGGATGCGAAAATAGACTTGATAATACCAATGCACGAGGAATTATTCCACCTGGCCGAGCAAACCTCTGACGTCAGAGACAGAAACAACCAGATCGTGCGGAAACGGTTATTTGCCCCGGACTTCCGAACACTGGTACGTCTACACAACAAGTGGGAGTTTAGCCGGTTCCTGAGAAAGGCTGGCTGCGACGGCCCCCGCGCATGGCTGTGTCGGGATATGGACGGCGTGCGAGCGCTACCGCACGGGGAGATGGAACTAGCACTGAAGCCAGTGTACGGTCGTGCAGCGAAGAACCTTTATCATTTGAAGCCCGACACCCCGTTACCGGATGGACTTGATGTCAGCCCCGAGAGCGAGTACATCGCGCAGGAGTGGATCTCTGGGAATAGGTATTGCTCATACTCTATCCTACGGGACGGGAGGATCTTCGCATTCAGCGTGTATCCCGTCGTCGACACTATCGACGACTCCTCGTGCGTTTACTTTCAATCGATCGAGCACGCCGGTATCCGCGCTTACGTTGAGAGGATAGCGGAAATGCTCACGGGCGTGGATGGACAGATTGCGTTCGACTTTATAGAAACGGGTGATCGGCTTGTCGCTATCGAGTGCAACCCTCGCGCCACGTCTGGTATACACCTCTGGTCCGGGACTCCTGATCTTGCCTACTCGTTTACACGGTCTTCGCCTGCGGTGGCCAAGCCGGGTGCGAGGAGACAGATTATTCCCGGAATGCTCATGTGGTCGAAGAAGGGTGCGGGACTGGGGGAATACTTAAGGCATATGAGGAGGCTTATGGAGACTAAGGATGTCATATTTAACAAGAGGGATCTGCTGCCGAGCCTTATGCAGCCGTTCTTGCTTACGAGTTATTATGAGATTTGCCGAGAGAGGAAGATGAATATTTCCACTATGTTTCAGTGGGATTTGGTGTGGGAGCCTGGGAAGGAGCAGTTGGAGAACGTGAGGAGGTTGTTGGCGAGAGAGGGAAGAGGGGAGGTGGGTGGAGAAGGGACGAAGAAGGATGTGGAAAGAGAGGAAAGTGCGAGTTGGTGGAGCGGTTCGGGCGTTAGGGTGGAAAGGAAGGTCTAGAGTGATGGACATGGTAGTATACAGTGTGAAAGATTGTTGCGGAAATGTTTGGAGTACCGGTGCTGTCTTATGATTGTGCATTTGGGACGTTGGTGTGACATTTGAAGTTCTTTCAACGGGGGGGGGGGGTATCTTGTATTTACTTTCTTAGATGCCTATGCTCTGCCTACAGTATGATGAATCTCTCTGCTTTAATGATGAGATACCTTTTGTAAATTAATGTCTACTTGCGCCTGTATACACCAAAGTCTGAGTCCCGTCGCCCCATGACTTATAGGTACCTTGCGCCCAGCATCATATCTCACTCGTTAAATATTATGCCGAATGTGCAGCGCATTCCGTTGGACATAATTGGTTGTACGCAGAAGGAGGTTTATTGCTTTTTTTAACCACTCCGCTGTACCCGTTGTCATGGCGGGGGCAGGTTTCTTATGATCTTTGAAGACTTCCGAGAAAAAAGCACTTCAATGGAAATGATCATTTTTTTACCTTTGAATGATCAACCAATCTACTTCGTCCCACTGTGGCTCTTATCTCACCCTCTCCTTCGTTCCTGCCTGTTATCATCTCTACTGAGATGACCTCCCGCACTTCCCTTCCTACTTCTCCAATTACTATTTCCGCTATCATACATCACTCCCACCCTTGACAAACCTCTTTGCAAACACTGGATTCTCCCCGCCGCCACCTCCCGTTCTGACATCTCATCGCACTTATCCTGTACCCTATCTAACACATTCCGCTCGCAGAGCCATTACCTCACTATCATGGCCCAGCATCGTTCGATTCGTATTATCCTATAATATAGGTATGGTCGTACATTATGGGTATTTCTCCAGCTACAAATACCTCATCCATTACAGTACAGTCCACTACCGGTATGGTTGCACGCCCGCAGTCCTCGATCTATTCTCATCAATTTGCATCACATCACATCCCAGTCCGTGCAACCCCCGCATCAAATCCGTTACACAGAACATCCATCCCACCTCCAACTCTATCGAACTGCCTTCTCCACCTCACTCCCTTCTCAATCCAACCACGATACCACCTACCCCCCAAAAGCAAAAGAGATCAAAGGGAAAAAGGAAAAAATGAACACCAACCCTCCAATCTATTTCCGTGAAGACGACCTACGCTACTATCCTTTCTGCCTCAGCCACACCTGCACCTTCACCTCCTCCCCCACTGGTCCTGGCAACACAGCACCGCCGGGGGTCTGCTGCTACTTCACGAGCTTGACGCAATACCTGCAATACCGCAAAGCGCTGTTCTTCTACGACCACCGCGCAGCGGAGGACATTCTCACAACGTCGGACGTCTCGCTAATCATGAGCATTTCGCGGCGCATAAACGGGTTGCAGGTGGAGGTGTGGAACGGGATGCGAAACACCCTCGTGCGCGAGGGGCTCATGCTGAAGTTTGGGCAGAACGAGGAGTTGCGGAGGTTGTTGCTTGATACGGGGGATAGGGAGTTAGTGTATGCGTCTGGGACAAGGGATTGGGGAGTTGGATTTGCGGTGAGTTTTTAGATTTCCTCTTGGGTGGCGGTGGTGGTGGGGCTGATATAGAGGGAGGGAATAGCCGACGGATGCGGGGAAGAGTAGGGATAGTTGGGGGTTGAATCTTTTGGGGCAGGCTTTGATGGGTGGGTTGTTCTTCCTTATGGGGAGCTCGGTTGGGATGGGGCTTACGGGGTTGTAGACGTCCGGAGGAGGTTGAGAGAATACGCCGATGCTACGGGGACCTATCCGAAAGCGCGACCGGCGCCGATCGACATTAAGATGAATAGCTTGGTCGAGTTACAAGGGGGCAGTTGATGGTTAAGAGAGTGAGAGGGAATGAGCTAGGAAGCTAGGGGCATTATGATTATAATCTGGAGAAATTAGCTATCACAGGAAGAGGAGGGACCTTCTCATGACTTCTCACTCACCAACATGGCGACACACAGTTAGACATTTGGCCCCGCAATCGAGCGGGGATTATCGCGCTCATATAATGAATTACGATACCATGATCCCCAAATTTTGTCTATAATAAGCGTATTCCCAATCAAATTAAACCAAAGAACGTCTATACTCGCTCATACCAAGAGCAGGTCACCCGCGTTGGCAATATGGTATGATATCACACCGCCTTCTTTCTCCACCTCCCAACAACTCTCCCAACTCCCCCCAAAACAACCCTAGCAAACCAAGGCGTAGCCCAAAGACTTGCCGCAATCCTAACGGGCAGTAAAGCCTTTACAACAGCCCAAGCTGTAGCCACCCTACCTCCTCCCCCACAATTAGCCCCCACCCACCCTCATCCCCCAATCGAAAGAAAAACTCACTCAAACAACAGCCTAGCCCCCTCGTCCCCTTTAAACCTCTGCCACCCCTCCCTCCGGACCTATTATATCTCCCCCACATATCATCAGCCCACTAATCACCAAGAAAGGAAGGGAGCAAGAAAGAAAGAAACCGAAAACATAATAAATTATTACCATACATATTTACCAAACATGTCCACTCCCGCCACCACCCACTCCCCCGGCAATCCCGGCGGTGTCCAGCGCGTCTTGTGGAAGAACAGGAATAGCCCCGCGAGCGGCACGATCGCCGTGAGCTCGTGCAGGATTACGAACGAGGTTATGTGGGAGAAGGGACGGTCGCGGAAGCGGGCGGCGTATTTCTTGAGGGCTTTTGGGAGGCCGCGGGGGGTGGCCCCCGCTGGGGTCGTGGAGTGGGGGCGGGGACGGAATTTGAAGAGGGGTGGGGAGCGGGGGAAGCGGCGGGTTAGGTGGTGGAGAAGGGGCGAGAGGCGGGGCGGGGTTAGCGGCATTCGGGTTGGGTAGCGGATAGCTTGGTTGGTTGTTTTGGATTCTGGGGAATTGTGCTACTATAAGTTAATTAAAACATTATACGGTAGCTGGTATGATAAGCTTTCGAAGGCTGTGGATGAGAAGCAGCCCTAACCCTGGTGGAACATGTGCCGTCACTCGGAGACCCAACCACCGGGGCAGTGAATACTCGTCCCAGGCAAGAAGTATCCGAAAGCCAGGGGGAGTGAAACGCTGTTGGTGCTGGGGTTCCTAGGCGGTCTGTGTGACATGCAATAAAGTGCCTTTTACCCAGATTGGGCCAAGCCAACACCACAGAATTGCTACTTTCCTGCATATCGCGATCAGAAAATAGGTAAGAAATCAAAAATTTGAAAGTTTTATAGAGAAAACATTAACCATTTTGATAGAAAATGCCAGTGAAGACCCATGAGACCAATTACAAGACCCACTGCTATGTGCAGGCTCTCAAATTTAGAGCAGGATGGTTATATCCACGTATTGCCGAGGATCAAAATTTGGAAATAAGTACTGTTTGGGACATTTGCCATGCTCCTGCTACCCCAAAGAAGAGAAAGTGTTGACCCTTCTCTATTGACAGCCCAACCCAGTGGCACTTGGTTGAAGCAGCTACCCAAGATAGCCTTCACTGCCAGATGCCATTATGTGACATTGCTGAACTCTGTGGGATTCAGGCCCATGAAAAAACCCTATGGAAGGCATTTGCCATGGAGGTATATAAGTGACGCTGTTAGGCGGAGACAACTTGATAGACTTCAAGGTGGTCTAGGCCAATCGAGATTCGTTTTTGTAGACGGAGATTGTCTAGGAAGGCTCGGACTTTACTCATTTCGTTTATGACTACTAGGAGCGAAGTAAAATAGATAAAGTAGGGTAGAATCATAAAAATAATATTATATTGTTAAGGTCTCTTCTCTGTTTCTTGATGATGTCTAAAGCTTGGGAGGCACTTCAATATTTATATTCCACGTCTGAGTATTCGCGGACTACATCTATTTATCATACAACTATGTACTTCTTCATTCGTAATTTGTGACGTCGAGTTTTCTTCCAAGGTGCGAACACCTGTGGACCCTGAAAACCATCACACCCTCTTCGGTAATTACGATATTTTTTCTTAGGAAATGTGCTGTCCCCAATAGTAATATCCCGATTAGCAGAGTCTTTAGACTTATAGCCTAGTTCTTAAGTTGAACTGAGTTGGCTCCAATTGTCTTCGCTATTGATAAAATGATCAGTTTTATCCACAGCTATATCTGCAAAGGTGGTCGTCATTACAACCATTGTAGGTCATCTGACTTTGATCCTTTGTAACTCCATACCCAACCGATATATTTTCTCTGGATGACTTCCTATTAACTCGCAGAAAGCTATTCCACCAGATTGGTAATTAATCCCTCGATCGGTAACCCTTGGTTGCTCTCTGGGTAGTAGATTTCAGTAACCATTGTAGTATTAGGAATCACCCGATGGCTACAACATGTTCTGAAACCCAGTTGCAACACTCCGTGAAGTTCGTTGGCTTCTTTGGTAGTGTCTTTTGGAGTTCTAGACTCTTCTGGTGGATGTAAATGTATTGGTCTCTAGTAGAGATCCTTTACCATTTGATACCATCTCTTTGTGCGAAATTGTCCCGTTACTTACGGCCCATGCCAAAGGTGTCATGTCTTTGAAGCCAAGTAACTCTCTGAGTAGTTGACGGAATTACTCTGTTCCACTTCCCAGACCTAGCCGAAGGTCCCCTCTCATATATCCTGCGAACAGGATCCGGTTGGACAGACGGCGATGACGTATATGGTGTTATTCTAACACCTTCAATTCTGTAGTAATATAGTCACAGGACGCAACTGAGATTGATATATATGATGACGCGTGGGCCCCATACAGGAGCCGGAGGGAGGTGTTGGAGACCAGAGATTCCGATTCCGAGTGGGGTTACCCTACTTAGGGTGGTTCCTAGGTATCGGGTTCTAGTATTCCTAACAGATGCAAGGCACAGAAGAAGGTTTTCCTGAGTGATACAGCTGGGGCAAAGCATCTAGACTTTGCACTATCGCACCGGCATTGGATAATAGAGGACTGGCGTCAAGTCATATGGACTGATGAATGTTATGTTTGGCTTTTGGGCTCTCATGGGACTGTATGGGTGACTCAACGGCCTGGTGAAGCCTATGAGGAGTCGTGTATTGCTCCTAAATTTGAAAAAAAAAAAAACTATCATAATATGGAAGGGGATATTAGAAGGAGAAAAGACTCCTCTAATCCAATGGCAAAAGGATAATTGGGGCAACATAACTGCATGCAGTTATGTTGCCCATGTGCTTAGTCCTGTTCTTTAGCCCTTCTGGCACCAAGCAAGTGAGCAGGCTGGTTACAGTTTGTAGATGATGGAAGATGGAGCTTCTGCTCATAGAGCAATATATACTCAGATATTTCGAGAAGTTTATGAAATGCCGAAGATGAATTGGTCCCCTTCATCTCCTGATCTTAATCCAATAGAAGATGTTTGGTATCTTTTAAAGGATAATCTCAACAAACGCTCACCACGCCCACAGGGAAAGGATGAAATGGCAGCAGCAATTGTTGAGGAATGGGCAGGAATTGTGCCGGAGGATATCTTGGGGTTCATTGATTCCATGCCAGCACGAATTGAGGCTGTTATCAATGCAAATGGGGAACATATGACATGGTAGATAGCTTTCAATTGTTTGTTTTCTTATTTGATAATTTTTTAACTTTTTTTTTGTTGTTGAAGACACTGTTTTTTTATAGAATTTATCATTATCATCAAGTTCACAATGTTTTTTATAACATTCTGGATAAAATAAGGTACCGAAATGACCCTTTTTCAATCTCGTTACACACTGTCTCTGCCCCTTGGCACCAACCGTGTTTTACCCCCCTGGCTTTCGGATACTTCTTGCCTGTGACGAGTACTTAACAGTCCAATGATCAAGTTCCTTGGGCTAGTCCGCGCCGTTAT